GGGTTCCTGCCCAGGCCCTGTTCCTGCCCGCACTGGGTTCCTCCCACACACACTGGTGTGCCTGCACACTGGGTTCCTGCCCACACTGGGTCCCTGCCCAGGCCCTGTTCCTGCCCGCACTGGGTTCCTCCCACACACACTGGTGTGCCTGCACACTGGGCTCCTGCCCGTGCCCTGTTCCTGCCCGCACTGGGTTCCTCCCACACACACTGGTGTGCCTGCACACTGGGCTCCTGCCCACACTGTCCCTGCCCAGGCCCTGTTCCTGTATACGTGTGGCTCCTGCTCTGCTCTGTGTTCCAGCACTGCGGCATCCCCTACGTGTGTTCCGGCACATACCACATCTCCTGCCTGTTGGCCTTGCTGTCCCTCTCTAGTTTGTGGCCTCAGCCTCCCCTAGTCCAGGCTGTCCTGGACATTTTGGGAGTGAACAGCAGGTGGAGGTCCCTCTGTTCCTCTCACTCTGTCTCTCAAATAGGTGAAATAAATAAAATACAATGTTAAAAAAGGAAAAAAAAAAAAGTAAGAGAAAAGGGAGCTTTAACAGCCAGGAACCTGGCCTGGGGCTATGCTGTTGCAAATCCCTGTAGCTTCATTCGCCACAGTTTCCTCTAATCAAAGACCTTGGGACCACTCACAGAGCTGTTGGGGGAGGAGCACTTGGCTCTCTGCTGTCTGAAGTCTCCCGTGGACACTTCCGTTCCTAATTAAGGAGGCTCAGTGGAAAGGGGATGGCTATCGGGTTGTTAGTGACCTGCTGACTTAGTGTCTCACGCTGATTGCCTGGTCTGCATCTGTGTGGGGTGTCTACCTCTGGGTTAGCGCTCCCTTCGTGGGTGTGTGTCAGATTCTTGGGTGCTGAGATTCAGGGCAGCCCCGGACAGCCCTGGCATGCTCTGTGCCCGGAGCTAGAGTGTCTGGGGGGTCCCTTCCTGTTCCTCATCCTTGCCCTACCCCTCCTCCCCCTCTGCAGGTAGCCTGCAGTGTGGAGTGGATTCAACAAGTAACAATGGCCATTGGGTTTCTTTTTAAGGTTTTTTTATTTGAATGGCAGGGGGACCAATGGGTTTTAGGACAGAGAGAGAGAAAGAGAGACCTTCCATCCACTTCCCAAAAGGTTGCAGAAGCCTGGAGCTCCGTGTGGGTTCCCCCCTGAGTGACAAGGGCCCAGCGCTTGGGCCATCCTCCACTGCTTTCTCAGGTGCATCAGCAGAGAGCTGGTTCAGACGCAGAGTGCTCTGAAAGCGCTCCAACCAGCCACTGTGATAGATGAAGCCGGCATGGCAAGCAGTGGCTAACCTGTAGTTGGGTTCTTGGGTGCCTCCTGCCAGGCCTCAGGCTGCGCTGTCCTGTCTGGGCTTGCAGCAGGAGTCAGGATGAGGAGCAGGCTCCCCTTTAGCAGGTGAGGAGACCTGGCCTGCTGCTCCGCCAGCTTCCCTGAGCTCTGCAGGCCCGGTGTCCCCCAGGCCACAGCACCCGTCCGTGACCCCACCCTGTGTGTGCGTGCACACAGTCTAGTCTGTGTCCTACACTCCTTCCTGGCAGACATGCTGTGCCCCTGTCCTGGCACGTGCCACAGCCTCCTCCCTGCTGGGGCACTGTGCCAGGACCTTAGAAGCATCGCTGCAGGTGGGCTGACTGCCCATTGGCCTGGCCATCCTTTTGGGGTGGTGTGGATGATGCCCTGGGGTGGCAGCCCCTGCCCATCCCGGGGAAGCTGAGGGCCTCCGGCTGAGCGAGCTGACCCAGCCTTTCTCAGGCAGGCAGTGGGTTTGCTGCTGAGTTCCCGCCGCTTCCCAGCTTGCGCGTGACCAGGGAGCCGGAGTTGGGGCCAAGGAAGCCAGGAATTGAACCCGAGTACTGATGTGCGTGGTAGACATCTTAGCCGCTGGCCTAATTGCCCGCCCCAAGGTCTCATTTATACATCTAGAAATTCTGACGGGTGGGTTACTGTTTTGTCTCCTTTGATCTATTTCATTACTCTGAGACCACTGGCATTAAATTATAAAAATGAGGTTGGCACACCAGTACAGCATTCACTTCCTGCTCTGGATTCCCGAAGCCCCACGGGAAGCTCTGTGAAAATTCCACCCGTCATGTTAAGATGACACCTTCCCTTTAGGAGTTACGGCACAGGAAGGAGGACTTTGGGAAACAAGCCAAGCCTTCAAAATCCACCAATAAATAAAATCCTCGGAGCACTCGCTTCTTGAGTCACACGATTTGTTAAAAGATCCCCGCATGTGCAGAGCGTGCTGAAGGAGGGGGAGGGGGCCTGTGTGTCTCTGCCCCAATCCCGCCTGGGGTGAGCCCAGGCTGCAGGAGCAGACAAGGAGGAGGAGGAGGAAGACGAGGAGGAGGAAGCAGAGGAGGAGGAGGAAGATGCAGCGATGGCAGCTATCTGCCCCAGGGGCTTGTCTCCGTGCGTATGTGTTGACTGGTTTGGCCAGTCTGCTGACCTCGTGTGAGTTTGCCAGGACGGTCACAGCAGGGCCTCTCCGACTGGGCCTGAGAACTGCCTTCCCGCAGTTCTGGGAGCTGGAAGTCACGGCCAAGCGGTCAGTGCGTTTGGTTTCCTGGGCGGCTTTTTCCACAGGCCTCGGTGGGCAGGCACTGCAGGGAGTGTCCGCCTGGCTGCCTCCTGTGAGGATGTCGGCATGACCGTCAGGACCCAGCCCAAAGCCTGTTTCCACTCCTCAGCCTTGGAGGGCCCTGTCTGACTCGGTCACTCCCCAGGTGCTGGCGGGAGGGCTGGACTCAGGGTGCCTCAATCTGCAATAGCGTTGATCTGTTCTAAGTTTTGTGGACCTGTCTGTGAGTCTTTAGCTCACGGTTAAGACCCCGGCATCCCACGTCGCACAGCCGCAGTCCCCTTCCGGCTCCGGTCCCTGAATGCAGCTTTGTGCTCATATAGTCACTGGGAGACAGCATTGAGGGCTCAGGCAACCCACTTCCTGGGACCCACATGGGCGACCAGCTTGTTCCAGGCTTCTGGTTGACCAGGGGCTGGGAGATCTTGCCCGACCTCCCTCTCTGTCTGATGGATAGGGCGGTGAGGATCAACAGGGGAGATGGACCTGGTGTCCTCGTTGGGTCTTGCCCCTGTGAGAGGCGCTTCGTGTCTCCTGCTCTCCAGGCCCCATCCTCGCCCTGCGCACCCAATACGCTGTCCTGTGGCTTTGGCTGTCCCTGCCCTGTGTCATTCTCAGGATGAGCCTACTCTCACTTCAGGGTTGGAGCCTGGTCCCTGTTCACCAGAGGACCTTTGTGACCGCCACCTGCCAGCAAGAGGTTGACTTTCACAGGAACATGTGTGGGTCCCACTTTACAGGATGCTCTGCTCTGAGCTACCCTCATTTTGCACACTCGGCAAGGGCCGTGGCTGCCGAGGCTCCTGGCCTCCCAGGCGTCGCCCGTGAACACCGCGTGGAACTCTGCCTCTGCTCGTTGCAGGGCCAGGCGGTCTGCAGAGCTGGCCTCCCCGCTGTCCACCCTCTGAGAGTGTTTCTCCTGAGGCTGCTGACTGCACTCGGGCAGGTCTTCATTGCCTGATTGGGTAGGGAAGGGTGCAGAGAGGGACGCGGTGCAAGCCCTGCCTCACTGCCCACTGCCTGGCAGGACCCTGGCGGCCAGTGTGGATGTGTAAGTGTCTGTGAGTGTGGCTGGGGGCGGGGGCTGTGCTGCAGAAAGGCCCACTTGGCCACAGGTTTCAGAGGAGCTGCGAGTACTGCTGGGTCACATGCATTTGGGTCTCGGTTGCTTGGGGGGTGATGTCAGAACCTGCAGAAGGAGTGGCACATGTCCACTGTGGCCTTGGACCTATGGGGCAGAGGGGAACATAGGGAGCCTTTTGCCTTCTCCTTTCCCACCCTCTGCAGCTGGAATAGGGGCTGGGGGAGGGCATGGGGCAGCTAGACCAGTCCTGATGCAGATGCCCAAGGCCCACTCAGTCCTCTGGAGTGTGGTCTCCGTGGGTCTCTCAGAAGCTTGGTGAGTGTACACCCAGGGCTGGGAGCCGTGGGGCCTGGGGGCACCATCTGTCCATGTCCTCAGTCCTGGCTGTCATGCTGTGTCTCCTGGCGAGTTCAGGGAAGCAGTGCCAGTCACCAGCCCTGGTTTCTGGAAAAGGGACTGGTGCCTTACAGAAAGCTCCATGGTAAGTCTGAGGGACAGGGGAGTGGGGTCAGCTGGCCTGTGTGTGTCCTGCTGCACATGGGACCAGTACGGTGAGTGGGGTCAACTGGCCTGTGCCTGTCCATGCTGTACATGGGACCAGCACTGTGAGTGGGGTCAGTGACCTGTGCGTGTCCTGCTGCATATGAGACCAGGACTGTGAGTAGGGTCAGCTGTCCTGTGCCTGTCCTGCTGCACATGGGACCAGGACAGTGAGTGGGGTTAGCTGGATTGTTCCTGTGCCTGCTATAGGTGGATGGATCGGGAGAGTAGGAATTATTGTAGATGGTGAGGACAGGAACTGGGAAGGGCAGTTGGTAGTGGTGGCTGTGGTAGGTGGCCATGGCAGCTGGCAGTGGTTGTGATGATAACCATGGTAGTTGTGGTGGTGCTGGTCGTGGTAGTGGCCGTGGTGGTAGATGTGGTGTTGGCCATGGCCGAAGTCATGATGGCTATGGGGTGCAGTGGTTGTGATGGTAACCATGGTGGTGGTAGTGATGGGCGTGGTGGTGGTCATGATGGTGGCCGTGGCGGTGGTTGTGGAGGTGGCCGTGGCGGTGGTGGTGGTTGTGGAGGTGGCCGTGGCGGTGGTTGTGGAGGTGGCCGTGGCGGTGGTTGTGGCTGTGGCGGTGGTGGTGGAGGTGGCCATGGCGGTGGTTGTGGCCGTGGCGGTGGTTGTGGAGGTGGCCGTGGCGGTGGTGGTGGTTGTGGAGGTGGCCGTGGCGGTGGTGATGGGAGTGGTGGTGGGTGTGCCGGGGCTGAGGCCAGCCTGGCCCTCTGCACCTGTGAGTCTTTGTGTCATATTCACTCTGCCTCCTCCTTCTCAGGTGATGCGTCTGCCTCCAGGCGGCCCTTTCTGGCCCCTCACAGCCTCCTCCCATCCAGTCTGGGTAAGCCGTGTGCTCTGTGTGTGATCAGCACCTGCTGTTAGCTCCCACACACCCCCTCCCTGTAGCGCTCACCTCTTGTGCATCCCACTCCTGTGTGCTCGGGCCCCAGCCGGAATGTCTGGTCATGCTCCCAGACTGCTCACTCTCAGCCCATTGCATGGGCTGCTGAAATTCCTGACTCCGGTGCGTGAGGTTGGGAAAACAGCTGCTGAGGCCGGAGGTGTGTCCTCCTGTGGGCAGCCTGCACACGTGGGGCGGGATCCCACAACCAGACTCCTATCCCTGCCACCTGCCAGGGAAGTGTTTGGGCATCATACGTTTGCTGAGGGGATTTGTGATACAAAACACTGCGAGATTTCCCCCAGCCGACCTTCAGTGATGCTCAGGTTTTGAGCACACCTGTGGCTTCCCACCCCCAGGCTCCTGCAGTGACTCCTCGCCTGTGAGCAGGAGACATGCATGGAGCAGCGGTGTCTGAAGGCAGCAGGGCCATGACAATGACTTGAGGACTGATGGGTTGTCTTTGTCTTGCCCAGTTCCTGGCTCTGGGACTCCACATTCTGTTAACATATCTAGGTTGCAGGTCTGGGCGTCTTTGAATTTGGTCGTTCCAGGCTTTTCCACCAGTTTAAAAGCAGGAAGGAAACAGAGCTTGTCGTCTGGCATGCTGTTCTACGTAGGACCTGGCTTGGCTTGTGGCTTCCTCTCACTGCAGCACTTTTCAGGTTTGCAGTATTGTTGGCTGCTCCTGTAGCTGTGAAGAGAAGTTTGTCTCAGAAAACGGGGTTGCACCTGCGTCTCTGTGGCCTTCAGGGGGTCAGGAAGCTCCAGGGAGGGTGGGGAGAGAAACAGTTTTCCCAGGTAGAAGATCAAAAGAGAAGTGACTGGGAACCAAGACTGCCAACTGGGCTGTGAGGTCGGGGCCCCCAGGAGGCTCAGACTCCAGGCGGGATGACCATGACCGTTCCCAAATCCAGGCGGGACCGTCAGAAGCTGGCTCGTCCTAGGGCAAGGGGCATTGTGGGAGTGAAGCCACCGACCAGCAGGGAAAATTTTTCTGACAAAATATTCCTGAACGTCTCAGGGGTACGCGGAGTAATTTAGCAGGAGATAAAGCTAAAACATTTCTTTAAAAAGTATTCATTTGTATTGGGAAGACATTTGTAGAGAGGAGAGACAAAGATCTTTCATCTGCTGGTTCACTCCCCAAATGGCCACAGTGCAGTAAAATGAGTGGAATCCTGTCTTCTGCAACAAAATAGATGGAAATCACTAGGCTTGGTGAAATAAGCTGGAATCATGTTTTTCCTGGTGTGCTGTGTGGAGGGGAGGGGCTTCGGGGCTTTGCTGGTTGCTTCCACCCTGTGTCTATTGGGGCTGTGCTGGTTGCTTCCACCCTGTGTCCATTGGGGCTTGAGGAAGAGAGGGGCTTCTTCCTGTTTGCTGTTTCCTAAGATCTTTACTCGATGGAGTGTTAAGTCTGTGATAATGAAGGAAATACAGCATTGCAGAAAAAAAATACAACATATAGCAGGAGGTGCCAGTGCTAATTCCCAACAGGATAACCCATCACCTGCAGGCACTGGAAACCCGTATGGGCATCGGTTCATGTCCCCGCTATGCCACTTACATACAGTTCCCTGCTAATGGCCTGGGAAAGTGGTGAGGGATGGCTCAAGGCCTTGGGATCCTGCTCAGCTCAGGCCATGTGGGGAGTGAACCAGCAGATGAAAGATCTTTCTGTCTCTCTTTTCTGTAAATCTGTCTTTCTAAAGAAAGACGGCAGGAGGAGGACAGGTGGGAATTCCGGGCACGAGGGAGGGTAGCATGTGGAGCATCCCAAGCTCCGACACCTGAATTGTGAACAGGGTCTCTGCCAGTTTCACAGAGATCTGGGGTCTTGATGGCTGCAGGCTCAGCAGCCGGGGCGGGCGTGCGCTGGGCCCGGCACCCTCGGCAAGCACGGGCTGCTTTCCTTTTCCGCCTGTCCTGCCTGAGCCCTTTGCTCCCTGAGGCAAGGCAAAACTTCAGGAGACCCCGGCTCTGTTGCTTTTCTTCCTCTGAAACGCACACACGTGTATATACATGGGCATTTCAAATGCATACGCAAGACTGGAGTTTTATAATACGCATTTGCTAAGTGTTACAGAAATAAAGTTTTTGTGCCAAAATAAACTCGTTCGATTCCCTTTCTCTGGCCTTTGGAAGTGCTGCCACATTTACATACTGTCACGTGATCTGTGGCTCGTTATCTGTGTGTCAGAGGGACTGGCTTGCATAGTATACAGATATGTGGTTTTTGTTGACCTGGTCAGCGGTGTCAGAGCTCATGGGGATGTGAAGATAAAGGAAAACATGAAGTGCATGGGCGGCAGAGGCCTGGGCGGCAGAGGCCTGGGCAGCAGAGGCCTGGGCGGCAGAGGCCTGGGCGGCAGAGGCCTGGGCGGCAGAGGCCTGGGCGGCAGGGCCAGCCGGCTGCCTGGAGGAGCGGACGCCGCCCTGAGGACGCCGCCCTGAGGTCGCTGGCTCCCCCAGACCCTCAGCCTTGCTGGGTGGGGACTCTGGACTGCGTTCCATGTGGTCAGCACTGTGGATGGGCTGGTGAAAGTTGTTTCTGCTGCCCTTGATAACCTCTTATCTTTATTGTTTTATTCCCATTTCAAAGCGGTCTGTACTTATAAAAGTTCACAGTGCATGCCTTTTTAATCTCTAAGTGACCCTCCCTCCTGGGGGCCAGGAGATGTGGGGGCTGGTCCTTGGAGGTGGGGGCCTGACTCTAATCTCTCTGACCCCCTCTTGGGGGCCGGGGGATGTGGGGACTGGTCCTTGGAGGTTTGGAGGTTTCTGCACGTGTGTGTATGGGCTTCTGCCCGCTTGCTTCACGCAGGCCAGGCCTGCGGCTGAGGGCACTGGGAAAGCCTGTGCTTCTGTCTGCATAGCCCAGGAATGTACTGTCGTGCTGTCTGGACATGTGTGTGCATGTTTGTGCCTTAGCATGTGTGCATAGGGCCTTCTGAGCAACAGGTTCCCAAAGTAGATTACTGGGTCAGAGTATATGTGTTTGACATTTTTAAACTTCTAGGTTTTTTAAAGTTTTGTTTATTTTTATTTGAAAAACAAATTTACAGAAAGAAGGCGAGGCAGCTGGTTCATTCTCCAAATGACTACAATGGTTGTAGCTGAGCCAATCTGAAGGCCAGATCAAGATAATTCTTCTTGGTCTCCCCATGGTTGTAAGGGTCCAGGTACTTGCTGCTTTCCCAGGCCATCAGCAGGGAATTGGATCAACAGCGGAGCAGCCAAGACACAAACTGGCATCCATTTGGGATTGCCGGCATTGTGGGTGGGTGATGAGCTGGCTGTGCCATCACACTGACCCCTAGCTGTTTGTTTCTTTCTTTCCTTATTTCTTTTTGTGGTAGTGGCGGTGTTTTTGTTTTAAGATGAAAAAAATTGAGTGTGAAAAGTGTTGATGAGGGAAAAACCAAGAGTTAGCTCAGAGTTAGGACAAGAGTAAAGAGGCCTTGGAACGAGAGCCTGGCACTTGGGAGGAGCAGCCAGGCTGAGCTTTGAGGGGATGGGGCTCCCAGGGGAAGGTTTGGGGATGGGGAGTGGTCAGCTCCCAGAGAGTGTTTGGGGATTGGGGGGAGTGTGGCTCCAACAGGAGGGTTTGGGGATTGGGGGTTGCAGCTCCCAGAGGAGTGTTTCTGGATTGGGGGGATGGTCAGCTCCCAGAGGAGGGTTTAGGATTGGGGGTGGTGGTCAGCTCCCAGAGGAGGGTTTGGGAAGTGTGGCTCCCGGAGGAGTGTTTGAGAATGGGATGTGGTCAGCTCCCAGAGGAGTGTTTAGGATTGGGGGGGGTTGGTCAGCTCCCAGAGGAGGGTTTGGGGGAAGTGTGGCTCCCACAGGAGGGTTTGGGATTAGGGGCGGGGGATGCGGCTCCCAGGGGAGGGTTTGGGGATGGGGTTGTGTGGTTCCCAGGGCAGGAGCTGGACGCTGTGGCATCATTTTCATAACTGCCGAGGTAGGTGCCTCGGTGACAGGTCTCAGGTGGCCCAGATCTCTCCGGTGACTTGACCGTGTCCAAATGATGCCACGCTAGTATTGCCTGGACTGGAAATGCTGGTGGCCACTCCTCCATCACCTGGGAGGGCTGCTGCTCAGTGGTCATGTGGAGGCTGCTGGGCTGCTGAAGGCTGACCAGGAAGGTAAAGAGGCCCTACTGAGGGGGCCTTGACCCCGAGCCTGAGTAGCAGCTGCACCAGTGAGGCCGGCTGCTCAGAGGGAAGTTTTTGTCTTAGCCCGTTGCTTGGTTGATGGCCTCAAGTGGGATCTAAGCAGTGGACGTCGTTTAGGAAGTCATGTGCGCCCACCACAGGGCACACTCAGCGCTGGGCTCTGGCCGGGGCTGCCAGGTCCCTTTGCTTTCATTGGTGGCCCTGCTTGCTTATGCTGTCCCTCACTTGTGACATAGCAGCACACTGAGTAAAGCCCGCACTCCTCAGCAGACCAGAGTGGGATGGACGCTTCTCAAAGTGCCACCCCTCCCTCATGCTTCCTGGGCACGAGCACTGCTTGACTCCTTTTACCCCAGACGTGTGTGTGTGTGTGTGTGTGTGTGTGTGTTGCAGGTGCCATACAGCATGTGGCTGCTTGTCGCAAGGAGGAAAGGAGCTGGGGGCTACCTGCAGAGATAGTGCCCATGCCGAGAGCCAGCTGCTTTCTCTGGGCATCTGATGCCCTGGCTTCCTGCTGCTTGCTGTCTTTTGTTTAAGTTGTCCTTCCTACCACACAAGTTTAGTTTATTCTTTGAAAGCAACATGGCCTTCAGTTCATTGGGAACTGGCTCATGGGCAGACCGGGGAGTTAGGGTGCTGTTGAGACTGTGCTGGTCCAGACCAGGAAGAGCTCCTGCCGGGGAGGGTGGGACAGGGGGACAGGTCTGCCCGACTCCGAGACAGTCCAGCCCACAGGAGGCAGCAAGGGTTTGAAAGCCCCAT